TGCTTATTTACTTGAGACCGTTTTGACACGAGGAACCAGACGAGTGTCTCCTCTGCAACACTCAAGTTCCTATTTTCAAAAGTATATTGGTCCAAGATCACCCCTTTTACAGCTTCCCACTTAAGAGCTACTTCAAGAATTAACGTGGCAGACTGCATACATTAAACTGCAAGCTCAAAGACAGAACAGCTTGCATGAAGACAGCTGCAGTGATTTTCAACCCCCGTTGATCCCCAAGTATAAATTATGAACTTTTTTTTAAAAAAAGCAAAATGTTTGTAAACAGATAATAATTTTAAAGGTTAACTTTTTTTTTCTTTTTCTGTGCAGAATTAAAAATAGGAACGAAGTAAACACAGAAGGTTTTGCTTTTGTCACACTGAGACCACAATTTCCACAGACATTCCTCTGGTGGGACACGGTTCCAAAAGTATATATTGCACGGTTGCAGCACTAAGTGGAGGAGCATAACATGTTGTGGAGACAATAAAACCCACAGAAATATGGTAAAACAAAGTTCCCAACAAGATCACCACAACTATGGCTGGCAAGAACATAAATTCTCACTGCATAAAAGTCCATTTGAGATCTTTAACCCCAAACATAATGCAATCTGCAGGATGCTTCTTCATCTAATTTAACCAGAATTTTACACTCAGCTAGAATTTAACATGTAGCTGGTAGAGCATAAGCTGAGAAAAATAGTATAACCAAGAAAACCCTGAAAGAGGGAACAGTCATCCTTTCCTAGTAAGGGAATTCTAATACTTTGGGAAATGTGGTTAATGTCTCTTTAACAGCTGTACAAACAGCACTTGTAACAAAGCAACTGGGCTTGCTGCCAGAAAAATCCAGACAGGTGATTCTGCTGAGAAAGGGACCCAAGAGCACCTTTCCCAGCACATGCCCTGCTGGCCATGGGGTGTTCATGCCAGAGACACAGCAGCCGAGGTTTAGCTTCTACTCTTTTATTGCTTTGGGGTTTTTAAGAGCTGACAGCAGCACAGCCCAGGTTCACGAAGAGGAGCCCTGATCCGTGAGTATTTCACACGTGTTGTTTTGTAACACTGAGCACACCCAGCCCCGTCTGGCAGCACAAATACAGCACAGAGCTCGTAGGGACAGAAAAGCAAGTACAGACAGGGAAGCTGACCCCGCTGCAGCCACCCCCATTGCCCAGGCAGCCACATGCAGACACTGCCATCCTGACAGCAGGAGCACAGGAACGTTAAAAAGGGGGCTGAGGAGACGTTCCTGCCGTTGACTGGTGCCAGCCAATATCTGCTCTGTGAGTAATTCACTGTAACTCTGCACAGGGAATGTTATGTAAAACGCTGCTGAAGGAAGATGTTTCCCTGCCTTCCCAGAGCCCAGTGACCGTGCACTGCAGAGAGCATTTCAAGCTGAACTAACCAATAGTCCCTGGCACTGGCTCGGAGGAGGAGCTCTGGTTCCTGCTCGCTGGCACAGATCAGACCAGTTTACAGAAAGGCAGCATTTTACAAATCTTTACATATGTAGCCAGAAGCCTTTGTCAGAGAGATGCAATTACAGCTTGAAGACAATTCCTGTGACAGAGAAGTGATGAGAGCACTAATGAAGGTGCCTTTCTGACAAATCAAGTTTTCCCTAAGTGTTTTTATTCATTCATTTGATCTCAGTTCTGGAATTTTGCAACAGGAATTGGCTCGGGTCTCTTTCAAAACATAAAGGGCCTAATCCCTCCCATTAGAGAACAGGAAGTCAGAAGCCAATCTTAGCACTGATTAAAAAAAGGAATCTGGGTTGTTATTTTAACTTCTTTGCTGCACATAAATGAGAAAACGGGCTTTTTTTCTGCTACCACTGCAGCACGATGGTTCAGTTCAAACCTGACTTCCCCCCTAAGTGGCACCTGTTCTTACAAGAGCCCCTTTGCCCCAGCTCTCCCCGGAGAGCAGCGGGGACACCGGCATGTCCCCCCACTGCTGTGTCTGGAACTCAGCACATGAGCTGCATGTAGGTGTCACTGAGCTGTCCTGCTCTGCAGTCTGACAGGGACATGTCCAACCATGTCTAGTGCACAGACTTTTTACACCTGCTCCAAGTAGAGTCCAACAGAAGTGGTTCACGTGGGAACAGGCTGTATTTTGTATTTTGACTTCTGTTCATGCCCACTTAAAAACTGCAAACTGTCACAGCATTGTGACAGCTGAAATCTTGACTTCTGGGCCTACTGCATCCCCCCTTTGAATGTTCCCATTTTCAAGTGTTCTTTTTCTCAACACAGAACCAGTGCGACCTTTCTGGGGCTGCCAAACCAGTCAATCCATCAGTCCAAGTCAGAAAGTGACTGGATTAACTTCAAGCACAGCTGCAGGTAAAATAAGCTGAACATACCCCCAAAGTCCTTAACATTAAATATTTTAGCACAAGCCAGATATTTTGTTTTTTTTCCCATTATTAAGAAAATGGTTTGTAGCATTCAGCACTTGAAAATTAATGAGTTTTAAATATGAACATAGTACACCCCCAGTTTTGAAATTCTCTGCTCTATTTTCTCTCCTCTCGTCTTTCCCATCTGGTATGGCTGAGCATTAATTTAACAAATATTTTTCTTCAAGGCTGTCAGAAAAATCTCATAGCACTTTGGAAACACCAAACATTATCTTGTGAGGTAAATTAGGACACAAAGAAGTAGCGTGACATATATGTGATCACACATTGTCAGTGGCAAAGACAGTAACAGAAATTCCAATATGTGTTGCTTTGGAGTCCTCAAGAAGAGGAACTGCTAATATATAGCAAAGAGTGAGGCTGGCACCTACATCAAGTTACATTTGGAGGCTGATCTGCAAAAGTTAAAAAATGCAAAGTCTCAGTATAGGAAAGCTTTCTTATTCCCATGATTTATTTTTGATAAGACAGTGTTTGCTGTCTTCTACACTGAGCAAAACAAACTCCACACAGCTCCTTACTCCTCCCAAGCTTCCTTCTCTCCAAGAATCAATCTATCAGCCTATGGAGACTGCAGCCAGAGGGCTGGGATTCCACATCCACACTTTACACCAGCAGCCACTGGAAAGGACTCAAGTACAGGTCTCTCAGTCTAACTCATCAATAATTTCTGCTCATTACTGAGCTCAGTTGAAGCAATAAAGTAACACTTCATATTCCACTATCAATTTCCCACTTCAATTTCTGAGACTCTACCCCAAGTGTCAGGAAAAAACATTAGCCAGCACCTCAGCCCAGACAAGACAGCAAACCCAGCTCAGATAAGCAGCTGTTGTAGAGTTTACAACATCAGGAGAAAGAAAACCACAATAAAACAACCTTCAGAAAAGTTATCTAACATGTGTGCACTTTTTCTCCAAACCGTCAGCGTGAGATTTTTTAGAGGTTATGACTTTGTAAGCCTTTCCCTACAATTCCACAGGGGTTAAAAATTACTCCAAAAATAAATATTTGACAAGATTCTCAGCCGGTGACATTGAAAGAAAATTTCTAGCTTTGAGAACACCCCAGCTATCACAAGATGCAAACCAGCAAGAGTTGCTAATGTTCAGCTTTCTTCCATTGGGAGATACTGGTGTTTTCTTTAAACTCCACATGCTGAAGTTTTCTAAAATAGATTTCCTGTCCTTTCTCTAAGATTGCTGCACCCCATTCAGCCAGGGCACAGATAACATCTTTGAATAAAAAGATTTGAAATCACAGTTTCTCCCATACAAAGTTCAAGCTTTACAGCAGAAAAGCTTTTCTCCCACAGAGCCACAAACTTCACAAGAGAAAGTTCCTTCCTCTGCTCTGTTCCCTCCGGAGGTTTTATATTCTTAGAACCCATCACACTTACCCAGGCATGTTTGTAATTTATATTTAGTACAAGGTCCTTTCTTCTCAGCCCACCTCTGGATATTCCAAACACAAAGAGTGAATCTTCATTACTCACTTTTCTCCTATGGATTAGATCCCTCTCCCAGAGTTACTCTGCACTGGAAGTGTTTATGAAACAAACCTCTGAATACCCCAAAAAATCACAGTGAAAGACGAAAAAGACAAACATTGCAAGATTTTGAAATCCAATTGCAAAACACTGAGAAGGAGATTTCCCTTGCATTTAGGATGGCACCCTTGTTTAATTAAGAAGAGGAAAAAATGTAACTGAAATATGAACAGTCTATTCAGAGAGGGGCACTCAAACTTTTTTACCCCCTTTGATCAAGGCTTTGGAGAAAAGATATCCAAGTTGGACACTGATTACAATGTAAACTCACCTACAGAAATGGTCAGGACAGTCTTAATTTTCCAATGGCAAAAGATGCTGAAGGGGCACCTCTGCAGTGATGTCCTACAGAACAGAGGGAAGGGGTGGACAACCGCAACCAGATTTGCCACAACCACTCGGTTTTACTTGGAGTCAGTTAAAACTGGTTTGCAGCGTTACACAATTTCTCTGCTCGTGTTGTCATTGCTCTCCTCCCAGAGGCACGCTTGCCCTCAGCTGACACAAATGTTACCACACTGCTCACTAACCATCGGGAGGGCAGACAGTGAGTCACATCGGCTTCCCTCAGCTGGGCGCAACCAACACCAGAGCAGCCACAGCAGAACGGCGCAGCCCGGAGATCTCTGCTCTGGCACAAGACAATGCCCAGCAAATTAAAGTGGGTACGTCTGCACCGCGTGTGAGGCTGGGGTTTTTGGTTACGAGCGGTTTCACACACGCTCCTTCGAGTCACAAAACAGATTAACGTTATTAGCGTAATTATTAACAGTGAAACCACAACTAATGCTTTTCATCTACCATTTTGAATTGCAGAATCCACAGCAATAAATTACTCAGTGATGTCCCAAACCCATAAACACTTATATGTGTTGAACCACGGGTAAACACACGGATTTAAAACCAAACACAAGACAATAGATGGCCATAAACATCAGAGTGCTCCATATAAAATCCTGGACAGTTAACCCATAAACATGTAAAGAGAAGGATGTAAATTTTCTAGTGAACAAACCTCTAGTTTATCGACTCTGGGCCAGATGTGGTTCCTCTCCAGCACCTTGTCTTTAATGAGTGGAGTGGTCTCGTGCAGGGTCTCTGACGTATCACTTCTGATCTGCATGAAAAAAAAAGTAACTCACATGAGGAGGAAGCTTGAAGATAAACACTGCACTGTTTTTTTCATGTGAATATTTCAAAATACACCTATTCAGAAAGTTATCACAAGGGCCTAATATAGTAGACATTTTCTTTTGTTACCTACTACAACCAAGCCTGTTTCTGGCATCCACAGGAGAGCCTGAACCTTATCTGAAGTCCTGCCAAGAGCTGTATTAGCAAGAATTACCCAAATTCCTGTATAACACCTGCCAGTGCTTTGTTCAGTGGCAGCAAGTTACATCTGCAAACAGCACTGCAGCTCTTGCAATGTACAGGCCAAAAGCGATGGATAAGCCAAGAACTGGGAATAACTCTCTGAAAGGAAAGATAAAAGCAAAACAAAGGAAACCTCCCCAAAACACCCAAAAAGGCATTCTAATCTGTAAAAGAGGGCAGAAACACACTGACAAGAGAAATGAGAGGCAGCAGAGCCCTCTTTTATACAAGTTTTCTTTCTCAGCTGCAGTGGAGTAGAGGAGGTCTTAGTTCACTCTGCATTAAAGCTGTGCTATGATTTTCAGAGACTTAAAGAATACAGAGGAATGAGGATCTCTTCAGCTGAGATTTTCGTCCCAGTGACTGAGCTAGAAGATACTCTTCCCTTAACCTCAGGAAAAAGTAAGGATCTTTTAGCTGGAATGCAGAGAACCTGGCATCGGGGTCATAGTGCAGGGAATTTTCTGGGCATTTTCAGATTTAATCTAGAAGCTCAAATAAAGCATAAATGACTGCTGTAGATCATTTAATCCATGGACCGTGCTTTATAAACTCTAGCAGGTACTTAGACGTTTTACTGATGATCATATGACTCATTTGTGTGTGTGTGTTTTTTTTTAAGAAGTCATGTTTTTAAAAACTGAGTATAAACGAAGCAATATGCATATAAAATTACTCATAGTAAGATTTTTATGGTACTTTTATTACCAGAATGAGTACATGCAGATCAAGTGCTTTTACAGTGCTCTAAGTGTTCTGCAATAGAAGATCAAACAGACATCAACCTGTGGCAGCAGTGTCTCCTGCACTCCTGGTCTCAGCAGTGCAGCCACCAAATGTACCCCGACCACCTCCCCAGCAGTGACACCACTACAGCCCCAGACAGTCCCTGGGACCTTTACATCATGTCCCTCATGTCCAGCAGGATCCCTGTCAATGGAGCCACACTGGTATTTCCTAGAGTAAAATAAAACACAGAATTAACATGTAACAGAGGAGATGAAGCAGATGGGTTCCAGGTTTGTTCTGTTCAATTCTTTTTGGTCAATGGTTGGCAGAAAAAACCCTCCTCTATCATAAAGCACATGTGAAGAACAGATTGGTGGTCTGAGGTGAGGTTCATATTCAGGTGAACAAATCCAGGTTAAAATCCAAGCCTGGAATTTCCAGAGAGAAGGTACAAACTTACTTGCTCATGTTGGTCTCAGAAGGGACCTGGAAAAAGCCACTCTTACAGTGAAATGTTACTGTAGTGATCCTGATAACTACTGCAACTATGAACAGAATCTGGGGCAGAGCCAGAGTGGGAGATGGTGCTCGGAGCCAGCACAGAAACTACCACCACAATGTCAGCACAGACATGGAACAAATTTAAACCATCTTTCTTCCAGGGTGAAAGAAAACGACCAATACAAGACACAAGAGAGCTGATCTGCCTGTGCTGAGGGAAAATGATATGCAAATATGATTCATGAGGAGCTGTTGTGCAGCAGTTTGCAGAACCACAGCGACAGCCAGTTCGAGAGGAGGCAGCGCATGACAAAGGGAAATGATTCTCTTGGTACAACAACCTCTCATGAGCCAGAGAGAGCAGGACTGCCCTGAACCCCCAGCTATAAAACAAGATTTATTTCCCCTTGTGCAATGTATTTTACTTTATCTTACCATAGATTTAGTCAAGTGCTCTGCATAAGCACGAGAGCATAGCAGTCTAGGGGAAAAAAAAAGGATATTCCTCTTCCTAGACTTTACTGTGCCAATTGGAGGAGAAAGGTTTGACTGAGCTTGGTCTTGTAACTCAAATCAGCAAGACCAAGCCCAAGGAGGTGGCAAACCAACAGCACTGAAGTCAGTCTGGGGGCAGCACCAGCAGAGTAAGAATGATGAATGAGAACACAAACCACGGCCAGCACGTTGATGCAGGTCAGGCTCCACCACTTAACCAAGCACAGATTCCTGTTATTTCGTATTGTATAGAAACTCTTATTTTTTTCAGGAAAAGAAAAAAAGGTAGTGAGAGCCAAAAATGAAAGACACTGTGCAAATCCTAGTTGTTGCAGGGACTTTTTGGAAAGGATTTATCAATATTCTTTTTCAGTCTTGGATCCCATGTTAACACAGAGTAACATAAAAGGCTCACAAGTAAAAGTAAGCACTGCAAACTGAACAGCTCAGTGGTGAGAAGAGAGAAAACTAAGGTTGGGTTGTTTAGAAGTGAGCAAACCCTGGACACAGTGACCCAAACAAAACCTTCTCTTCCTCTCTTTTCCCAGTGATGACAGCAGGTTTCACACCCAGAACCTCAGGGAGCAGGTTCTGAAAGCACCCTGAGACAAAGATGAGCCATCAGCAGCTGCTCTGGGGAACCATCATAAAGCAGGATTTACAAGCATATCCTGGAGCAAGTTCTGCCCAAAGTTCAGTGGCTTGAGAACCACTCCCCTGCGGTTCTGTAACTGGTGAAGTGTGCTGGAGGATCAAATCATGCATTAAAAAAAAAAAAAAAAAAGAGTATCAATACAAGCAGATTTTGTAGCTATCTGTAAATCCTCTTCAAGCAACAGAAGCCAGAGAAATGGAAGCAGGGAATTTCCACATGTGACTAAACCAGCTGTGCATGTCTGAGTAGGTATCTTTTTCAATGTACACAAGAAGCACAAAGAATCTCATCTCAGAATGTAACCAGCACTGACCCATGGAACAGGACAACAGCATTACAAGAGGCTGGGGTAGGAAAGGTTGGCAAGAGAAGTCTCACAAGAGGTTTAAAAGCTCACAGGATCCATCTGAACAAACCAACCACCTTTCCTACACCAGAGCCAGAAATGCGAGGTGCATGACTGGCCAATGGGAAAACGAACAAGGAACATACATAAAAAACCCCCACTTGTCATAAGCTCCCAAACAGAAGAATTGAGTGAATGAAGTTAATAGTAAATGAGAACACAACCAGCAGTCAAGAGCTATTGATTCAAAACCCTGGCTTTGAGCAGGTGATGCTGTATCACTGAAGTAATCGCCACCTTT